AAACCATGCTCTAGGGGACTGTTTTAACCCGTATAGTGCTTTTTTCAACCTGCACACACTATTGTCTCTAAAGTTTTCGGTGAAACCCGAAGGTGCCTCCATGTAGACTTCTTCTTCTAAATCACCATGCAAAAATGCATTCTTAACACCAAAATGCTGCAAGGACCATCCAAGATTAGCTGCTAAAGATAATAGTACTCTAACAGTGTTCATTTTTGCAATTGGGGCAAATGTCTCTTAATAGTCTACTCTATATGTCTGAGTGTAGCCTTTGGCCACAAGCCTAGCTTCATATCTCTCCAAGATTCCATCAGCTCTATACTTCACAGTGAACACCCATTTACACCCTACCAGTTTCTTTCTTTTGGCAACTCAGCTATTTTCCATATATCATTTTTTTCTAGTGCTCTCATTTCCTCACTCCTGGCTTTTTTCCATTTCTCATCCCTAAATGCCTCTTGGACTGTTTGTGGAATTTTAATGGTGCGCAAATCTGTGAGAAATGCTCTATGCAGTGGAGAGAGTTTGTCAAAGGAGATAAAGTTTGCTCTGGAGTGTTGAGTGCATTTCCGTGGTTCTTTCCTAAGGGCAATTGGTATATCAAGGTCTATAAACTCAGGTTGTGAAGCAAGAGGATTTTCAATACCTGTTACGTGTTCGGATTCTTGGACTTGCATCGGTTCAGGTTCAAACTTTTTCCTTCTTGAATACACTTGTAATGGCAAGGAAGTACCGTGATTACCTGTTTTCTCATTAGGAGTTTTTTCAATTTTGTCTGGAGACAAGGATGATGTTTCTACTGGAGAAAGAGAACCGGCAAGAGGAGAACCAGCAGGAGAAGTGAGTGTTTTAGGAGCTGAAATATCGATATTATCAAAACCGAGACTGAAATTAAACTTATCTTCCAATAAATGCTCCCCCTGAAGATAAGTTTCACCAAGAAAGGACTTGTTCTCAGCAAAGGTAACATCTTTAGAGATAAAGGATTTTTATGAATTGGGATGATAGCATTTATAACCCTTTTTAGTGGAGGAATAACCAAAGAAGACACACTTAAGGGCTCTAGGATCCAATTTACCCGATTGTGAGCATGAATGTGAATATAGGAAACACAACCAAATATTCTTGGTGCTAATTGGGTAGACTTATTGAATTCAGGATAGAATTGTGAAAGGGCACTGATTGGAGTTTTATTGGCCAACACTCTTGAAGGAAGTCGGTTGATGAGATGAGTTGCAATCAACACGGCTTTCCCCCAATAGGATTTAGGCACTTGTTTTGCAAATTAAAGGGCTTGGGTTGTTTCAAGAAGATGACGGTTTTTTCGTTCTGCAATCCCATTCTGTTGTGGAGTATCTATACATGAAGATTGGTGTATTATCCCTTCCCGTTGGAAAAATGGTGAAAGAATATGGTTAAAGTATTCTTTCACATCGTCTAATCTAATATTTTTAATCTGAACACCAAACTGATTTTGAATCATTTTAAAAAACATAGGGAAAACAGAACTAAAGTCAGATTTGTTTTTCATGAGAAACAACCAAGTAACACGAGTACAATCATCAATGAAGGAAATAAACCAACGAGTGCCAGTAATATTTGGAATCTTAGATGGCCCCCACACATCAGTATAAATCAAAGAGAAATGATATAAAGATTTATTATCACTCAATGGAAATGAGACACGATGATGTTTGGCAAACTGACGTACTTCACAATGAAAAATTTTATCATCCAATTTATGAAATAAATCAGGAAACATAGTCTTTAATATAGAGAAAGAAGGGTGCCCTAGATGAAAGTGTTGAAGCCAAATTTGTGCTTTATTTGGTGAGAATTTTTCTGAGAAATGAGATAAAGGTAGACAGCCACTGTCCTTGCCACGACAGGTATCTAGAAAATAGAGTCCTTCCTTCTTTTTAGCAAGCCCAATCATCTTCCCCATAATCGGTTCCTGAAAGACACAATGATTGGGAAAGAATGTCACTGTACAGTGTGGGTACTTGTATCAAGCTCAATATGTGGTAAGCCCTACAGGTGCCACATCACCAAAACCCCACCCACGTGGCAGACCAATAAGGCACCACGTCGGGCATGTTGTATGTTTGCTACATGGCGAGCCCTACGGACGTCATGTGTCAAGGCAGCCAAGACTATATGCTTAGCCTAAGCGGGAGCATACATATAAGCCCAAATATATCTAGATATGAAGAGCCCTACAACAGGCAGCACCATGGCCCCAGGGCCCATGGTCCTTCATACCTCGCTCCAAGGACAAACAACAATACAATCAGCTCCCGGCTCACTTGGACTTGGATTGATAAACAATGGCTCTCCTAAACATTGAGATAGGCCTGCGGCCCAACCTCCTACTTGGTCGCTCAGAAGCGAGCCCCTGTCTTAAACATCGAGATAAGCCTGCGGCCCATTCTCCTACTTGGTCGCTTGGAGGTGAGCCCCTGGCTCTCTTAGACACTAAGGTGGGCCCTGGCCCATTTATTTACTTGGATGTCTAGGTTGGGAGCAGGACCCAGGGACTACTGCTCGGGATCATCAGAGGATACTGGACTGGCGGCTGAGGTCATGGGATCGTCGAGATGTTTGTCTTCTTGCTAAGACAACTCCATCTCGACCAGGCTTGGAGAAAAGGCAACAATGACCTTACATTCATGTCATCCGATGCATATACGAAACGTTACCTTCTGCCTGCCATGAAACGTTGCTCTCCGCCTGCCGTCAAGCCACAGACGGCAGAAGGGCTTATATCACTTCTGGCAGAGTTGAGGAGAACGAGCCACCTGTCCAACAGTTTGCTTGGGCTCCAATACTCCTGCGGCCTATATAACGTATCGTATATGCAGTGAGACACAATAACAACAATACAACCAAGTTTCATACTTAAACACCCTCTCTCACTTTGCATTAATATTCAAGGTCTATCACTGCAACTTCTCCCTCTCCAAGCTTGCCTTGACCTCCTCCTCTCCACCTCCGGTGATCTCAGGCCATTGAAGTGCTCGCCATCTTCCCGGACTACCTCTAACCACACCTCTCACCCCCATATAGTTTAGATCTTTTGTAATCTGATGTATAGACAAAAGATTTACAGAAAGTTTAGGCACATGAAGAACGGATTTCAAAGCAAGAGAAGGTGTAAGATTTATGGTTCCCTTTCCTGCCACGGATGCAAGGGTTTCATCAGCAACTTGGAATTTTTTGTTTCCAGGGCGTGGGGTGTATGTTGTGAAATGGTGTGAAGAGTTGGTCATGTGGTCTGTGGCACCTGAGTCTATTACTCAGGTTCTATGCGAATTACAGTCCTTTGAGACACTAAGGGCTTGAGATGAGGAATACTTACCTGAGTGTGCCAATGAACATGAGCCAAGCCAACCGGTTTGTCAATTGAAGTAAGGAAGCTCCAAAGTTTCTCAATTTCCTCCTATACTATACCGATTTCAGGGCTGCTACTAGTTGAGTCTTGGCCAGGTTTATCATCAACAAGGGCAATATTTGCTTGGTTGCCTCATAGAGCATACCGTTGTTGAGTAGTGTTGTTTTTGCCAAAAGGTATTTTTCCCTTCAATTTCCAGCACATCTCCCTATTATGCCTTGGTTTCTTGCAATGGCTGCACCAAAGGTCCTCTTTATTGATTGGTGGTCTATACATCTCTCCTTTGTTTGAGTTCGGGCCACTGAATTTGTTTGGAGATGGTGCTTTAACCACGGCCAGGGCAGATGCTTCTTCAGTAGGAGAGTCTAACATCACAGTCCTCCTTCCTCTTCAGTGTGTATGACTGAAAATACCTCATTCAAAGAAGGTAAAGCTTCTTTTCCAAGCACTTGCACCCGAATTTGATCAAGTTCCACATTGAGTCCAGCCAAGAACTCATAAATTCTTTCACTTTCCACAAATTTTAATATCATAGCGGCATCATCACTGCGCTTCATCTTAATGTTTTGATAGTAATCGAGTTCAAGCCACAAACCTTTCAAAGTGTTATAGTACTCAGTAGCAAATTTTGTACCTTGTTTTGTTGAGTGAATCTTGGTTTTAGTTTCATAAACCAAGGCTGCATCCTTAACTCTGGATTAGGTCTGCTTCACTGTGTCCCATGTCTTTGGCAGTTGTCAAAAACATGCAGGTTCCACTTATCTTTGGTTGCATTGAATTCCAGAGCCATGACATAATTGAGGAGTCTTTCACGTCCCAGGCTTCAAACTTTGGATCTTCTTCACTCGGCACAGGACCAATCAGGTGGCTGAGTTTTCCCTTACCCTTTAGAAACGTCCTTACCCATTGAGACCACACCAGATAATTTATTCCATTGAATCAATATGATGACTGTAGGTTCTGATATTCACCATGTGAGGTTTAGACAGGTTGGTTTGACTCGGTATTGGTTTGAGCAGAGGTTTTGGATGTAACAGACCTTGTGGGATTTTTCTGGGTAAAGTTTGAAGGGTTTGAAGGCAATAAAAGGCCAGGGATTAACGGCAATGAAGGCCAAGAGATATTCTGCAATCAGCAATGAAGGCTGTGCAGAAAGATTCCAGGGCTAGAAAAAGAAACAAGAGCAGAAAAAAAACCTAGAGTTCTGATACCATATATATGAATAATTCTTCTTACTAACTGAGGGAAAATGTACAAAATATATAGAGTACGAAGGACACTAATTTAGGGAACTAATTTACATGAAATCAGGAAAGAATCACTAAAAGTTAGGGCCTAACTAACCGCAGTTATAATAAGAAACAAATATAAAGTATACAGGCTGTACAATCTTAGTTTTAAAGGGTTGTAAATTCCCTGTTCAGCAAGTCAACTAAATCCATAAAGATTTGTCAACACCTTTCATGCTTGAAATGTTCATTTACTAATATTTGTGTATTCTAATTGAAATTTTCTATGGTGTTTAAGTCAACACCTTTCATGCTTGAAATGTTCATTTACTAATATTTGTGTATTCTAATTGAAATTTTCTATGGTGTTTAACTTCCAGGAGTCCTCCATATTTCAGCATCTGAGAGTCATGGTTATAGAAGACATGATATATTTGATACATGTTCAAGAGCTTGCAGAGTTTGTTTGGTCAAGCTTAAACTCAGAAACCGAATTGCTTTTTGTGGACCTTGAACGAGATCCTCCAAAGGTTCTTCCCTTTAAGGGGTTTAATCTTTTAAATCTTATTTTTTATAATTAAACATATTTCTCTTCCTTTTTTCTCTAACAAGAAGTCATATTTCATCGTTTTCCAGATGATTACACAAACTGAAAAAAGCTTGGTAGCAATGCAACTTGTATCAGTTCAGAAGTTGTTTTCTTTAGTCTTTCCTGTTGATGGAATGAACAGTGAACTCTTGCCATGTCACAGGACAGACTCAACACGCAATGACAAATCCACCATTGATGAGCTGGGAATTTCAGAGTGTCCTGAATTTATTGATCTCAGTAGCTGCATGCAAGAAACACAAGTAACTGTGCCAACTCTGAATGGGTAACTCCTTGTTTTCACCCACATATGCACCTGCATTATTCCTGGGTGGTTATTTTTTATTTTTATGATGTAGCTTGTGATTTCTTATGATTTGCTCTTTCTAGCTTCCAGGAAGTTAGAAGCAGATAATTCTACAGTAGTTCCCCCCCCCGGTCTCCCTGTCAGCAGAAGCAGCAAACACAATGAAATTTGACATGATTGCATCTATGATCTCTTCAATTAACCTTCTGGAACTACATCATCGTCCTCAACTCTACTACCGATACTAACATCTACCGCAACAACTTCGACTGCTTGCATTCTTGTTAGGGTTTTGATCAGATACCTTACAGGCTTCGATCTTTGATTTTAGGGTTTCAATCTCTGTTTCTTCCACTTTTATTCATCCTCTTTCACCCTGTCTCTTCTCGTTTGTTTCGTTTTCCTCTTGTTCTTGTTTAGGGTTTAAGTTTAGGACGCCCCTACGAGCTTATCAACTCAAGTTAAAAAGGTTACGAATCCAAACTAGTCACTCTTTTATGTTGCACAAACTCGCACCGTTCCACACAAACTCTCGATACTTAGTGAGGCAAGAGGCTCAATTACTGAGTGAAAAGCGTCGAAGGGCAAAAAAATATTTTCTTTCTTTCTTTCTTTCTTTCTTTCTTTTATGCAATCAAGCTAAGGTCACTCAGTCTATGGATCATCTAATTTATCAAAGATTATCACCAACATGCATATTAGCTTCAAGTCTTAGCCCCACAGCACTGTGCTAATATGTTCAAAGTGATTTTCGAGGTAAACTAATGATAAACTCTCTATTTAGCCAAAGTAGAACGGACAAATGTAACATGACCTATCCTATGAAAAGTGGTCAAAAATTTGACTCTATCAATGATATTAATTGACTTCTGCATCATTCAATACTCAACATCAACTACACAGATTAGGCACTCATTCTACTTGAAAATCAAAAGCAATGCATCTATCTCAAGGTGAAGAACTTTGAAATTTTTACAATTTAAATACAATACCTTTCCTCCCCCGGAACTTAAATGTCATATTGTTCTCAATGGGCACACCCAAATAAACAATAAATTAAATAAAACGTGTAAATGGAGTGAAAGATAGCACCTTGAGACGTAGTCAAGCACACAAATATGAAGGAAAGAGAGACTCCCCCCAACCTAACACTAAATGCACCAACAAAAGATTAGTAATTACCAAAATAGAACAAAATAAACGTGTTAGTATCTAAAAAATAAAACACCAAAGCTTTTTTTTTTTTTTTTTTGTCTTTTCTGAACAAGTTCTGCCCGAGCACCAAGGTGGCTCTACTTGAGCAGTTGTTAATATAAGAATATGAATATTAAATGACTACATGTACTAAGTATCTATATGAAAAATTAAATCCTAAGTAGGAAACATGAAAATCAAACATATACTAAACTACCCTCATATAAAAAATAAGATTACAACTCACACCCTCTCAAACTCATGATGCAAACTTAGAGAACATCAAGAGTTTTTCCAACAAGAAACAAAAACAAGCAGAAGTGAGTTTTGGTAAAGAAGTCAACAAGTTACAAAGAAGAGGAGACAAAAGGAAGAGCAATGGTCCCTAATTGAAAATATTGACGAACAAAGTGACATTCAATTTCAATGTGTTTAGTACGCTCATGGAAACCAGAATTGTGCGCAATATGGATAGCACTTTTATTACCATAGTAGAGATTGTAGGAGCTAAGATAGAGATACCTAGATCTGAAAGAAGCTAACGAAATCAGAATAGCTCAACAGTAGCATGAACCATAGCAGTTGAGCGAGCCACAACAAATTGTTTCTTACTACTCCAGGAGGAAAGAGAATCACTGAAAAAAACACATAAACATGAGATAAGACTTGCAATCAGAAACATCACCAGCCCATTGAATATCAGCGCAAGTGCGAAGAGTCTGTGGAGAAGAAGACAAAAACAAACTTTGAAAGATAGTGCCACGGATGTAGTGAAGAATATGAAGCAAAGTAGACTAGTGAGTAGAACAAGGAGCAGAAACAAATTGGTTGACGATATAATCACATAGGCAATATCAAGTCGTGTCTATTTTATATATGAGGGTAGTTTATATACGTCCCCGATCAGTTTCGGGCCGGGGACGGGGATAAGTGTTTTAGCCCGTCCCCGGCCCCGTTTATCCCCAAAATGAAATTACTATTTTACCCCTCTATATATATATATAAACCAAACCCTCATATCCCTTCTCCCTGCCTCAGACCACGTCTCTCATCTCTCTCTCCCTCACTCAGATTTCTAGTGCTCACTTCTCATCATCATCATCATCTAGAATAGATCTGAACAGTTCCGCCGATCCTCTACAACCACCGCCTCCGCCACCATGGCTTCCTCTTCGACTCCCCAACGCCGTCGCCTCACTCTTACATCCGCTGAAATAGTGTCCGCAACACACTACCCATCCTCTGCCGCAGATTTCGACATCACTCATCGCCTTCTCCATCGCAACACCGCCTTTGTTCGGCCTCCGCTGTAGCTCAAGTGGATGATTTGGATTTCGATTTGACCCAGACGATGCGCCAGTTGATCTATGAGAATAACTCAGATCTATATATGTGTAATGATGATTGTTGATGATTATGATAGATACATATATGTGTTTGTGTGTGTAATGAACAATTTTAGGTCCCAAGCCCGGGTTAAGGAGGAGGGTTGTGTGTTAGGTAGCCGACAGCCAACACGTAAAAAAGCCGCTCGGATCCCTTATGAAAATGAATCTTACTTTGAATCGTTTAAATGCTAGGTCGTTCCCCTCAAGTGACGCGTTGCGCCTGCCTCCGGGTGTTTCGAAAAGTGAGCAAGGGGCGCCGCATCGACGCCTGGGTGCGGTGAAAAATGGGCAAAGGTTTCCGCGTTTTTCTGGACGAGCGCGGGTAAAGAAGCTAGTCCAAGACTATAGGTTTAGGATAGCCACTTGGAACATAGGAACCTTAACTGGTAGGACGATGGAATTGGTAGATGTTATGATTAGGAGGAGAGTTAGTATAGCTTGCATACAAGAAACTAACAAGCTATGATATATGTATTGTTTTGACAAGGACCTTGGAAATCATTCATTTACCCCTTTATTACTTATATCATTCACTGAGTATCCAAGCTCACCCTCCCTATGTATATATGTAGGTAACAAGCAAGAAG